TGCTCCATGAGATGTTCGTTTCCTCAGAAAGTTGGTCAATGGTCTTTCGACGATCTTCATCAAGCAAAATTTCACGCACACTCTTTGTTCCTTCTGGTCGGCCATCTCACTAATCGCCAAAGGGTTGAAACAGGAACGCACACAACAGAGCACCACAGACAAACCACTTAACTCAGACTGACGCCAGCTCACTAACAGTCGCGGGAGACCCCCAGCTAACACCACCTAGCAGCACAACTCGTAACTACAAAGCATGCGCGCGCAACAGGTCGGTTCCGGTTATTTTTGGGTCCCCCTTCGTACAAATGCTGTCACTAGCCAGACTATACAGCACTGAATGGTATGATGACAGTGAATGACAAATTGAAAAAGGAATTTTAAAGAAGCAGTCATGGCATAATCAACACACTGTCCCAGCATTTGCCTGAAAGAACTGAGCAAAAACCTGAAAATCTCAGTAAGGATAGCCAGTTTCCTGGCTGAGAATAGAAATGGGCACTTCCTGAATACAAGCCTAAGAGTGTTACCACTGGAATGACATTTTTGGTCATGAACACAATGAGAATAGCTAAAATAAGTTTAGAATTTCTTCAAATAATCTTACAAATGAGAACATAGGCCTGTATCTATGATCATGTAAATGCTTCCCATCATCAAGTAACAAGTTAATTAACAGCCATGGCTATTCTCAGTATGTCCAAAGATCACCAGAGAATTCTTCCCGCCAGTGCATGCAAGATCAGTCTGAAGACAAGGAGGTCTGGTTACTGGCCAAGCAACACTTAAGGTTCGGCCACACAGAGCACTACGCTATGTTCACTACGTACGCTACATACGCTGTGTATACTCTGCGACGCAGGTAACATAGGGGACATAGTGTACAGAAGTCTGTGGGGCCAGTCACATTGGCAATAAAGGGAAATATTCTTCTGTTTGTATAGCGAACATAGCATACCTAGCGTGCATCGCGTATGTAGCACTCTGTGTGGCCAAAGCTTTAGAGGAGGAACTAAACACTGCATTCTGTTACCCATGTGGATACTGGATTAGTTACCACATACATGAGACATGTACCTGCCATCTCGGCCCGGGTGTAGCCGACATTAGGGAACACATCCGACAGCAATGAGAACAGGAGAGGAATGTCCTCAGCCACGAGCTTAGGTACCATCGTCTCACACACCGACTGGATCAGGATCTGCACACAAAGCAAGCGCTGAAATAATTCTGAAAACTATGTAATGCAGAACCAAGGTGGCTTAATAGGAGAACTGAATCAGAGCATTCTGCGAATTGGACAATAAAACATACATAACAAGAGAAGTCTGTCTCAGAACTCTGCAAATCAAGGCTAAAATTCTAATGATTTTGTATCGTGACTTTTTCAGGTACTTCTAATTATATGCAACATTGCTTACATTTATTTATGCACGTTACTAAGCATGGTTGCTTTCTCAGTGAATTAGGATCTGGTATAGCACACTTTCTCCCATAATGTAATCACTCATACACATGTTTGTCACTGATTTTGAAAAGTTTCATCACAATAAAATCCCAATTTATTTAACATTTTTTCTACTCCCAGGTGATGCCAAATACAGTGTTTTATTTCCCTCTAATTTGTTATTTCTGATTTAGTAAATAACCTGCATAAATGTAAGAAACATTTGGCCTTCCAGCAGTCATCCCTCAGCTCAATCCATCTGTGACTAAAAGAAGAATTGGTATTCCTGTTTTCTCTCTGCCAGAAACTGTTCCTGCACAACTGGTATTTTTCATTATGACATTAAATGTTTTGGACATTAATTTGATATCACTGATTGTATAACTGTATTTATTTGTGTAAAAAACTCCAATGAAGACTTTTTGGGTGTTCACCCATGTCAAAGTGAATTCTGTATCCAGTATTTCAGAGACTGTCTTTAATTCTGAAATTCTGGATACAAATTCCATAGTTACACTGCTCATTGATCAAGAAAACTTCATCATATAGACTTGTTGTAAAAGCATCAAATGTTATTCAGTTTCTTAAGCCACACACACACAGTTAACTTATTTCATCACAATCCTACACAGTAAGATTTATTAGGGCCGCGCCATAGTTCAAGCGGTTAGTCGTTGGCTTCCCACCACGGCAGCCCGTGTTCGATCCCAGGTCTGGCCAAGTGGGATTTGTGGTGGACAAAGTGGTGCTGGGGCAGGTTTTCTCCGAGTACTTCGGTTTCCCCTGCTAATCTTCATTCACCAATTGCTCCACAATCACCCTCACCTACCATCTGGAGCTGGTACAATAGCCCAAAAGTGGCCGCAGTACAAGGGACTTAGTCCCACCCCACTAGCAACAATAAAAAAAAAGATTTATTAGGGTATGAGCAGTTCTTTGATGTAATTTGGATAAATGCAAAGACAGAAAATAAAAGGAAAATATGGAGACATCGGTTGACAATGCAACTTGATACATAATACTTAATTCTACTTTCACGAAATTCTCTTACCTCCTGTTCTGGCAAATTCTCTGCTATGGAAGCCTCATCGATATTAGATTCACCTCGTATCTTCATGATACGGTCTCGTTTCACATTACCAGCAGACACCAGAACAGACTTGAGGGCTCGGAGGCCAAAGTCATAGTGCGACTGGTTTGACAGCTGTTCATCGCACAACCTGAACCAGGGAAAGCATGTTGTTGCATTCCATATGACAAGCAGATTACAGGCTGATCAGATACTCGGTCACATAAACCCACATTAAGGACGCAAAGTAAGTAATTAACCAACTCCATGTATACGAATCTTTCTTGAGAAGCTAACAATCACTTGACAGCTCAACAAATTATCTATCTTTTGTGGAATCTCAACATTCATAAGAATTTGTCACTAGATCCTGTCCTGAACCAGATAAATGCAGTTCATACTCTCATATCTGATTTCTTACAGCACATAGAATATTTATATTACAGTTCCATCAACAATGCAACCAAACTGTACTCAAACAGGCAAAGAGATTTATATCAGGACCCTCCGCCAGAAGAACCAAGGACATGTTAAAATTAAACAGAGATCAATTAAGATGGGTTGTAGGATTACTTACTGGACACTGCCACCTAAAAGGACACCTTTTCAAACTGGGGCTGACAGATGACCCAACTTGTGAATGGTGCCTACGAGAAGATGAATCAGCCATACATATCCTAAGTGATTGTGAGGCTATAGCTTACTTAAGATTTCATCACCTGGGCCAGTTCTTTATGGAACCAAGTGACTTTTATGACACCCCCATAAATAAAGTTCTATATTTCATTCAAAGTGTAGGATTAATACAGGGTTAATCCAAAGGGGAAGCACAAAAGATCACTGAAGGTTGTAGTGTGGGGCTGGATTTTATGGCCCACCCCCTACCCACACACATATACAACAATGAGACCACTTTATTCCTTAGAATTTTCATTTTTTACAACATGTTTTGCCCGTAACTGGCCATCATCAGGTACTTCAATTTGCCAAAACTGTTACCTACATTGACTATTGTTCATACTTTTCACATGTAACTGCATTGTTCTATACTAATGTTGCAGTTACAATCCAGCTAATATAAGCCAATCCACCATACACTGTGACTCACTTTCTATTGCAATTAACTAAAATTTCATTAAAATTTTTAAAATTCAATTTAAATTTAATTTTTAAAATATTAATTATTCCTCTTAAATTTTGTACACTTCCTATACCTCTCTAGGGCACTGTCCACTTGTTCAAACAGTATATATTTTGACCATCCTTGTTTTTGTTTCAATGGCCTTTTGTTTCAATGTGCAAGCCCATTGTTGCTGTTATGTTTGCCCCTTTCTATACATCATTCACTCCACCAGCGTACGGTATTATCCTCGCTGTAGTAGATGTTATGAATGTTATAGAAATGCAACAGGGTGCTTAAATAAAATATTCTTACAGTGTATTTAACATTACTCTTCAGTCTATACCTAGGTCTTCGAAGTAGTTTCTTTCCTCCAGATTTTCCAACTTGAATTTCATAACAATTTACCATTTTGGCATGCAATCTCCAAGTCCTACTGACCTCATCATCCTTGATCTGATCACCCTACAAAATATTTGGTGCAGAATACAATTGATACAGGTTCTCCTTATGCAACTTTCTGCATCAGGAAATTCAACTCTTGTACATTCTGAGAGTACTTACTTACTTACTTACTTACTTACTTACTTACTTACTTACTTACTCATGGAGCTGAGCCCTTCTGGAGGAGCCGCCAATTCTGCAGCTACTCAAGAATTTCCCAGCATTTTATGGAACCCTAAGGTCCATTACCATGTTCATAAGAGCCCTCCACTAGTACCTATCCTGAGCCAGATCAATCCAATCCACACTATCCCACCCCATCTCTCTAAGATCCATTTTAATATTGTCCACCCACCTATGCCTTGATCTTCCCAGTGGTCTCTTTCCTCCTGGCTTTCCCACCAATATCCTATACGCATTCCTCGTCTCCCCCATTCGTGCTACATGCCCTGCCCACCTCATCCTCCTTGACTTGATCATTCTAATTATACTTGGAGAAGAGTACAAGTTATGAAGCTCCTCATTATGCAGTTACATTCTGAGTACAAATGATAAATGAAGAGCTTACTTGAAGAACGGCACAATCTTGCAGGCAAGCTTCTCAGCTGTTCGGAAACCTTGAGAGAACAGCATCACCTCAGCGATGAGCTGGCGGTCGGGTTTTGTCATTGCCAAGGACCGGAACAATTTCTTCAAATTGTCAGGCAGGTTAGATCGACCAGCGTAGCCAGGGTTCATAGTGATGAAGATTGCCATGTCAGTTGAGACTCGCACTTGCTTCCCCACAAGCTCAACAGATATGCCTGCAATGCCATGGTCACTCCTGTTTTACAAAGCTCTGAAATGTTCCTTAGTTAGGACAAAAATACAGCATGGCCTCCAAGGATTTCATTTTTCCTTACATTGACAGGTACAATACAGCAGTATCTGAGATTAATTAATTAATTATTAAATTACAGATGAGCAGCGACACACACACACAGGGAGCCTGCATGGACTAATACATGAATGGTGCTGATAACAAGAAATAGCTGCTGCAGCACATGTAGACAAGAGCAGGTGTACCTGGTATTTAAAACTTTAAATTTTAGAAATTTTAAATTTTAAATTTTAAACTGTAATTCTAAAATCAAACTGATGAGCGTATGGTGGCGAGATTTTAAAACAAAACTGACAGGCTGATGTTTTAGATTTTGGACTGTGTGCAGTGTAACAGTTACATAGTGAAAAATACACCTGAGGATGGTCAATTATGGCCGAAACATGTACTGTAGAGGAAGAAAAGACAAAGATCTACAACCAAATAAATTGTTGCATTCACGACGGCATTTGTATTACTACATACAGACTACTATTACAATGTCATAAATATAAAACATTATCCTTTAATAGTTACTGCAATGTGCATGAATTTATTAAAACATTTATACATTATTATAATTAGTCTATTTACAAGTATGGTTAAAAAAACTTCTTGTTAAAATCTAGAACCAATTTGGTTCGTGACCTTTACACACCTTCTCTTTCAAAGAAGTTGAATGTATACCACACTGTGGTTCTGTTGTTTGAAGAAGAGGACCCTTTAGTGTTCAGGCTACGCTGTGTTGTTATACTTGGATGGCATTACTATTATGGGTGTGAAGGATCAGGATGAACCAAGTCAAATTTATCAGTACAATGGTTATTTCTAAACGGAAAAGTAAAATGGATATTGCACTTAATTTAGCACTAAATCACAGATACATATATAGGCATGGACGTAGGGCCGCGCCATAGCTCAAGAGGTTAGTCGCTGGCTTCCCACCGTGGCGGCCCAGGTTCAATCCCGGGTCCGGTAAAGTGGGATTTGTGGTGGACAAAGTGGCGCTGGGGAGGGTTTTCTCCGAGTACTTCGTTTTCCCCTGCCAATCTTCATTCCACCAATTGCTCCACAGTCACCCTCACCTATCATCCGAGGCTGGTACAATAGGCCAGAAGTGGCCGGAGTACAAGGGACTTAGTGCCACCCCACTAGCAATAAAAAAAAATAGTCGCTGGCTTCCCACCGCGGCAGCCCGGGTTCAATCCCGGGTCCGGTAAAGTGGGATTTGTGGTGGACAAAGTGGCGCTGGGGAGGGTTTTCTCCGAGTACTTCGTTTTCCCCTGCCAATCTTCATTCCACCAATTGCTCCACAGTCACCCTCACCTATCATCCGAGGCTGGTACAATAGGCCAGAAGTGGCCGGAGTACAAGGGACTTAGTGCCACCCCACTAGCAATAAAAAAAAATAGTCGCTGGCTTCCCACCGCGGCAGCCCGGGTTCAATCCCGGGTCCGGTAAAGTGGGATTTGTGGTGGACAAAGTGGCGCTGGGGTGGGTTTTCTCCGAGTACTTCGTTTTCCCCTGCCAATCTTCATTCCACCAAATTCTCCATCATCATACTCACCCAGGGAAGGCTACAATAGGCCAATCAGTGGCTGCCGTGCCGAGTCGACCGAGCTGGACTCCACCCCCACTAGTGAATTAATTAATTAGGGATGGAGGTGTAGCTCCAAACTCCTTAACCTCAGCACCAGATGCAGATGAGTGGTCAGTTTCATGCTGTGGCTGCTTTACCCCCGAGAAAAGAGCCTCTGGTACCCAATGGATGGGTGTGGGGGGGATGTTACTAGACCCAGTCTGGACTATACCAACTTAGCCATTTCTATACCCCGTGGCAAAATTGATGGATTTGAGATCAACTGAGAGCAGGGTAGGAAAGAGGTCTGATATTCCAGGGCAAAGCTAACAGAGGTAAGTGAAGAACACTGACGGAAATTTGGTGCAGTAATGTAGAAAACTCACAGCCTTCTTTCTTCCCATCCTGCTGTGACTTCAGGGCCTCCTGAATTGTCTGCACTTGCTGTGACACGGCTGACAGCATTCTCTCTTCCAGTCTGTTGAACTCGTCGAAGCATCCCCAAGCTCCAACTTGGCACAGACCAACAAAGATCCGTCCCATTGCTTGGAAGTCGAATGTCTCATCACAGTTGAACACCAAGACGAAGCGACCCAACTGATGGCCAAGGGCTTTGACTGACTCCGTTTTCCCAGTTCCAGCAGGACCTGAATGTATGAATATAGTTTCTAAAATCTCTAACCACTGTGACATTCAAGGCCCTTGCAGCTGACTACATTACTGTATTCTGCAATGACACCATGGAGATTGGTAGAATGATACCATTGTTTCAGAGGAAACTGCTGCCTCCTTCTTCAAGGTAGAAGAGCAAGTGAAGTGTGGTAGACATGAAACAGATATAGGGAGAAATGTGGCAGGGGACCTGAGTGAACTTTTAACTCCTTACTCCCACTGGTTCCATCAGGACCCAGGGTCCAGGGTCCAGTCCTCTTTCCACAGCACTTTACCATGCTCACCTTACTCTTACTCCTCTACCTTGAAGATGGAGGCAGTAGGTTCCTCTAAAATACTGTTATTTTCTACTACCTGTGCCTGGCCACGCCTTGCTGTGGCTCAGTCTGCCCGTTCTTCCCCAGTTTGATTTGAAATTACTCGACGCATTGCTCCCACTCCGCGAGTACGATGACCTAAGCTTGTTCTTAGAAAATGAAAAGAAAAACAACCAAAAATAAACTATACTTACGAAATAACTTCCACACACATCTCAGATTCAGTGAATAAGTTATTGAACGCTCACTTTTACACCAGCGAGCACAATTATTATCACGTCCAGTATCACTGAAAATTTCTCCGGAGCTGGACTATTATAACCCGGTTTCGGATGCAATAGAGGGCACTTTCGCCCAGGGTTCCATTTCACGTGTTCTGTGCTCATTGCCGCAGAAATCCATTATTTCCGCTGTTTCAATAGTTCGTTGCCACAGTTATTCCAAGGCAACGATGTGCTGTTTCAACAGTTCATTGCGACAGTTATTCCAAGGCAACGACCCGCTGTTTCAACAGTTCGTTGCCACAGTTATTCCTAGGTAATGATCTGTTGGTATTCGATGGACGATGTATAACACGTTACAGTATATTAATATTGAATACAATTGAATACAATTAATACTTTTACCTGTTTTTACCTGTCACGGGTGTGACATCTACATAATAGGCATATAGAAACACGCGCGTGTTCGAATGTAACGTTGTGTCAAAATTTCGAAGAAGTTTCGGAGATCTTCGAGGAGAGCCAAACAAACAGTTACATTTTTATTTATATAGATTACACAAAATGGCACCAAATCCCAGCATGTCACAACCTTAACATTTGCTACAGCAAGAACTTCATCTCATAATATCAATAAGAATTGTAATTACACACAACTCACCAAAAGGGGAACCTCCCAAGCGTGACTCCAAAGCTTGTGTCATTGTCAGGTAGCAGCGATCAGTGAGGGGTGTTTGTACTAGGCGATCTTGAACTCCTAGATATTCAAAACCATAGAAAAATTTTGCATTGGCCATGTGTATAGTGAGCTGTTGCAGGACTTCTGTTTGACGAGGGTCAAAGTAGAAACGCATCTCACACAGCCATTCAAATGCCTTGGGACTTGATATCCCATTAGCGATAAGTCGCCGTGTCACTGTACGCTTGTGGACAAATTCATTGATCTGGAATATGAGATACAAAATGAAAAATATACCAAAAGTTATAAAAATTATCTTTTTTTTATTGCTAGTGGGGGTGGGACTAAGTCCCTTGTACTGCAGCCACTTCTGGCCTAATGCACCAGCCCCAGATGATAGGTGAGGGTGATTGTGGAGCAATGAAGATTGGCAGGGGAAACCGAAGGACTCAGAGAAAACCTGCCCCAGCGCCACTTTTTCCACCACAAATCCCACTGGACCAGACCTGGGATCGAACCCGGGCGCCCGTGGTGGGAAGCCAGCGACTAACTGCTTGAGCTATGGTGCGGCCCTAAAAATTATCTTACTGTAAGTTACAAGTAAATTGATCACAAATATTTGTAACATTGCTTTGTAAGAACATTTCAAATACCCACTTAATTTATTATAACTAATGTTAACGTCTCTGTATTCTTGTCACAGATTATTTGAACTGTCAACATTTTACCTTTTCGCAATATTACTGTCCTTACCAAGTGCTCAAGTTTCCTCCTGCGCAGGGGAGGCTGTTCCTGTAGGACTGAGTCTGCAAGAACATTCAGTGTCGTCTCCACTTGAGACAGCACTCTTTCCAATGGTGTCATCTTCTGGTCACCAGCTGCACTAATCTGATGCAAAGCTGCTTCAACATCCTCACTCCACAGAATTTGGGCTGCCAGCACCACGATCTGGGCCTGTGGTGACAGCAGAACGATCACTGCTACACTCAGAGCACAGTCAGAAACTTGGAATTACTGTTTTCCTGGACTTTGCCCATCACCTGATATTCTCACCCAAGACACGTTTGGGGAATTGGATCTGCTTCCATGTTCAGGGAAGGGGCATCTACTCTTTTGGTCCATTAGGAAGAGCTAATTCCAGTCATAAAATATCAAGGAATTGGAATTACCATTCATATGGGACACAAAATGACTGGCACATATGGACACTCCAAATTTTCAATTAAAAATTTAGGTAAAAAGTAAGTATAATAAAGCTATCCCTGTAACAGGCCGTGGAGGCCCATAGGGTTGTGCGATATTGAGATTCCCACATTTTCTAGACAATCGGCTCATAGATGGCAGCAAGGTTGTCAAACCCTGCGTGCCGACCACCCTTCAGCCCCAGGAAGATTCCTGGTGCTTATTTCTGTTAGAGGCTGAGTCAACCCCAGGGCCATACTGCAGCTGGAACAATTAGGTCAATTGGAAAAATCCAATGACCTCATCGGGACTTGAACCCTTGACCTTCCGGCTTGTAGCATAGTGCCTCAACCAACTACACTACCACATTCTCAGCTATATTTGTCAGATAATTATAAAATAAACTGTTGTGACTCTTTCAACTTGAAACAAGCTTCACATTTCCCTTATCTTAGCAGAGTGAGTCATGATGGAGTCTAGGTATTACATTAATAATGTCAGCCTTTAAAGACAGTAAACCTAGTGCAGAAGAATGATAACCTGAAAGTGAGGCACGGCCAACATCAAACAGCCAGTCAAAAAACACAATTTATGCTAGTAACACCCATACTGATAGTTGTCCAGATTGACACTTGGCTCTGATGTTTGTTTACGCTGTATCGGCAGCTGCAAATGGTGTTTGTGAAGTACAGTTCATCCTGAAAACTTTGCTGTTATGGTAACTGCAGTCCTGTTACCCCACCACACACAAGTTTGTCATAATCTCATGTTAATTATGTATGCCAAACTTCAGTTTCAATTAGAAATAGTTATGGTGGGAATTAAGTAACACAAACCAGTTGTTAAACATCATGTAGCACTTAAGGATTTATACATTCAAGGATATAAAGTTCACATTTCACGCTTTGTGTATAAGACAACCCCTAGTTCTGGGGACTCGTTTTAAGCTTAAAAGCTGTTCCTGTATGCTATCATATAAAACAGCTTTTTCTTATGGAATCAAGTGAGCAGGTACCCACACTTTCCAAAATGCTGAGCTTTAGTTTCTAGGATATCAGGTGATGGACAAAGTTCAGGAAACTAGAAATACCAACTGTCATACACCATGATCCGAAACATTTAGAAATGTAGGAACCCCACCTGATATTTGTCGCACCAATGCATGTATGCCTGTCTGTCAATGGCACCATCCTTGAACTGCTTGATATCTTGAACTGCCTGCGCCAGAGATGAAGCTAGGGTGAACCTCATCTGTCCTTCAACCAGACTCAGCCACTCATTAATCTTTGGGTGATCAACTGTTGATACAGGCTCACTGAATTTGACCTGTGTGAAACCAAATGCACACATTACCAGTCCACTAAGTCCACCAAGCAAAGGTGATATACCATCCTCAGACTAAAAACACCGACCATCAAACTTCCTCCTAATTATACAAAACTGACAATATTCACACACAGCCCTACAAATTGAGACTGTAGCCTTCTGAGGTGTGACACAATGTAGTCTGGTGGGTGGATACCAACATTTCTGAGAAACGTGCTACTTCCATTTTTAAGGACGAAGTGTGCAGATTGAGAAACAGGTTTGGTTATACAGAAAAGTTACTAGGATGGCCATGAGACCAAAGGAAGGGATGTGAAGAAATGGAATCCGATCCAGGCAGGGGGGGGCCTACATAAGGGGTACACTGGTTAATCGTCAAGGTGGGACGTGGGATAGTGAAACAGAATGGACTTTTCCAGGGATCCAATATTCCTTTCAATGGGAAGTGGGACTGTGTGTGAGGAATCTCAAAAGTTTTATGGCACAACAAATTCTAGAAACCATTTCAATTTATGTGAAAGTTCTAACCTCTTCTCCTTCTCTTGAGGCAATGCCCGTGATCACTGTGTTGTCTTCATTCAAAATGATAGCTGCCACACCAGCAAACATTTTCTTGAAGTGCTTCTGCAAACGAGCGACATTCTTGCTGTTACCAATTATCTCCAGCAAGTCTTCATCGCCCACAAAGTAGAACCTGCAATGTTAACTGGTCAAAGTTCCACTCACAAAACAAACTCCATGGTCTTAGTCCGCAAGCAAACTATACTGACCGAGCGACCGCCGCTTGTCCGCGAAGTTAGTGCCAACTTTATCAGATAGAGGGTGTCACGTGGTCAGTGCAATGAAACCCTAAGGCCGTTAATTTCGGTTTTCTAGACTGGACCCGCTATTTCCTTGAAACAGCTCCTCAATTATAATCACGAGGCTGAGTGGACCCTATTCCAGACCCACTACTTCCTAGAAAAAATTGGGTAGCGCCGGGAATCGAACCTGAACCTCTGGATCTGTAACCAGGAACTCTGACCACTAGACCACAGAGGCGGTCTATCTTATGAAATGCCATAAATGGCTCAGACTTTGTAAAAATCCAAGAGCAACAGGATAGGGTATTGTACCAAAACACAAAAGCAACTCTAATTACCTGGGAAATGAAGTTCTCTCACGTTCAAGGTATTCTCCCAGTGCTTTCTGGATCTTTCCCAACAAGTCAGCCAATCTTTCAAGCGAACGCTGAACTCCTGGGATGTTCAGGACATCCATCACCATTGGTGATTTTGTTACTTTCTTCATGAGACCCAGGAATTCTGAACTGTAATTAAAACAGTGCCAATAATAAGAGTTCATATACAGAAATCTTTCCTAGAATGACTTTATATTTTACATGCCAAGTTTTGTTGCAGTAAGCAGTGCACACGCAAACCTGTGCTCTAGCACTGTGCATTTCCAGTGTCTTATGTGTCAATGCTACAAACTAGAAGGTCATGGGTTTGATTCCTGATGGGGTCACCACACTTTTCTATCAATCTAATCCTTGCAGCCACACTATGTCACTGGGGTCGATACAGCCTCCAACAGGCGTACCAGGAATCTTCCTGGCAGCGAGTGTGTAAGACTGACAACCTCATCGCCATCTGTCAGCTAACTGTCTCGAAAATGTGGGATCCTGGACACCTCACAATCCTATGAGCCTTCACGGCCTGTTACAGGGATAGCTTTACCCTTTCACTGTGTGCTAATGTGCTACATGCCCACTTTCCATGGTGGATGGATAAGCGGTTGGCCTATTCTATGGTCCCAAAGTCCTGACTTCATTCCACTTGACCTTTATCTGTAGAGTTATGGAAATGACATTCTGTATGCTGGATGAGATGACAATTTGAAGGACCTGCAGCACAGAAATGCAGTGGCACCTGCACTGGTGACCAGGTTGTGGAGTGAGTGCTAGTATCATCTTGATGTCTGCAGGACCGTGATTGGGTCCCATGCTACAGTGTACCGACTGATAATCATCATTTTACTCATATCCCATGATGCCATTTTCAGTTTCTTTTGTTCACAGTGAAATATATACAGTGCAGAATTGGACTGATTCATATGTCAAATTCCACATGTTATATGATTTTGTTTCACTTTCAAGTTTTTCTGTTAATGTCTTGATCCCAATTAAACTTTCTAACTGCTGTTAATTTTTCTACTGAATTAATGCTTGATGTTTCCACATATTACCTTTGACTTCTGATGTAAACATACTCACTTACATAACCTACCACATATTTATATGTTAATGGCCTTCTTGTTGTCCTCATTAAAGATTGTTTATATTCACATATCCTGAAATTGTATCTGTTAAGCGCGCTGTCTCAAAATTGTTACACATCTTCCATTTCCTTCTTGTTCTTCCTTGAATCAAAATGTCTTGGCACAAGCTGGAATTCTTACATTCACTATGTATATTTCCCACACTGCATCATATATCCCAACCATGCAGACATTAATTAAGAGGCATAAACAAGTCACTATCTGCACAGTGTATTTTATAACTCCACACGAATAGACAGTGAAGCAGAAAAGATAATATGACATCAAACAGATTTTGGGGGTTAATTCAAAATAATCTGACAACTGTCTCCTGGGATGTGACACCATGCAATCCATCGAAACACTGAACCTCACAGCCATTTAACATCCCTGTACTGAAGAGTTCATGCTGTCAATACAAAAGTACTTAAATAGAACTGTGTACTTTCACAGGATCTATTACCATACAAATCTTCAATGGCACTAGTACTGTTTGCACTTCACAAATTTATGAGCTGGCTGTGCTGCTTCAGTTGATAACTCAGACAGTGAAAAGGTACAGAAGATGAGGAGACAGCCACTTGTTATTTGGAACAAATTTCATGAAAATCAACCAATCAGTGAGTGACACTCATGATAAATGCTCCATTTTGTAGTCCACAGTTCTATTAAATTAATGTTATATCTCACTGCATACTCTTGCACATTCTGATATCTTTCTCACTTTGTTTATCCTGTTTATTTATTCTAAAAAACTTATACTTATCAGACCTCCACAGATCTTGTGTTCTCTCAACCTGTTGTATGTTTTATGTATTTGCAAAAATCACTATCATCTAATATGTGAATTCTAGCATTCTGAAATAAACTGTCTTACTGAACAAACATATTGCTGATCTTCCCCTTCTGAAGGCTTGGGCCTTAGCAGTGCTGAACAGCCACAGAGACAATTATGTGATTTGTTATATGGTCATTTACACTGAATGTGGCTCAAAAAGGTTATTTACCTAATGCTCTGGAAGCGAGAAGTCTCCACTGGCAGCAGAACTTTGATGTCTGCACTGCCAGAAAATATCCCTTCAAGGTACACCCAACGTCTTTGCACATCAATCCACACATCAAACAAAGCATTGATGCGATTCAATTTCTCTTCCCAAGTGAGGGCTTCCTCCTCGAACACCTTCATAAAGATTGACAGTAAAGATTATTTAATATGTACAAGTACAAGCACATAAAATTAACAAGCAATATCAATAGTGAGACTGACAAAGCTGAAAATTTATCCTTGTAATGAGGATTCCCTGGGTTATGATGCTGTGTTTATGGTGAAGCATTTTAAATGGTATAGGTGACCCATAAAACGTGGAAACATCTAAAAAGGAAAAACTGTCATGAGTTTTCAAGCCTGAAAGAAGAACTCCATAGATTAGACAAAATATTGTAACTTAATTAATTACTGGAATTATGACAAAGAAATTTATAAAACTAATTCTGAGGCTTTATCAAAAACATCAGTAAAAATTTCTAGGTTATTTTTCAGGATACCCCTTGTTCCCCATTGACACACACCTGTGATACAGTGTACCAGAACATCAGGCTGATAATTTATTTAGAAAGAAACAAATTTTTTCATTTCTTAGATGCAGAAATAAGGTCAAGTATGTGTGGATTTCAGTAGCTGGCACTGACATTTGTAAATGCTTGTAAGAAGACATGAGTGTGATAGCAAATTCTAGAGATCTTGACCCCAAAATGCTCAAAAAGCCTGCTTGAAAACCTTCTAGACACTTCTCAAGTCTCTGTACCCCCACTACTGACAATTCAAAATGAAATGAACAAAGCAATATGGAAAGTATATTGGCTACGTTGTTAGGACTCCTGCAGATTATACAAGTTTCTTTACTGGCTGAAAAATTAGATTATTTTTGCCACAGCCAAAACTTGGTGGTGGTAGCTAATTTCAAAGTTATACATTAAAGCCAAATAAACTAACACGTTCTGATAGATACCTTGTAGTATGGAGACAGCTTCATGGCTGCCACAGAATTGATGTGTTCCTTCACTTTGTTGAAAAGATCATCCCAACCTCGGATTAACCGGCACTTGTTCTGGTAGTTGATCAAGTCCAGCTCATAGTTCTGCCATGACTCTCGAACCTAAAACAAGCACCAAATTACACATTATATCTTGGGTGAGTAGAGTTTATGGAAATATATTATACTTCAGGGGTGTGTCACATCCCAGACCACCATAATCCTAACAGCCATAAGTGTGAAAACCTCAAAGTTTGAAGAAGCTCTTTTATTTAACTTAGTATTTAATTAAAACAGTTATGTGGAAAATTTAAAGTAATATCATCCTGATGATGGATAATTGGGCCAAAACATGTAGCACAATAAAGTGAAAGGTATATAATTTGATTAAGTGTATACTGCTGCGTGAATGAATCACCGTATATCAGGTATGATACACAACATGATGTTCCCATAAAATATTTCATTTAGTATTTAATTAGGGCTGCGCCATAGCTCAAGCGGTTAGTCGCTGGCTTCCCACCGCGGCAGCGTGGGTTCAATCCCGGGTCTGGTCAAGTGGGATTTGTGGTGGACAAAGTGGCGCTGGGGCAGGGTTTCTCCGAGTACTTCAGTTTCCTCTGCCAATCTTCATTCCACCAATTGCTCCACAATCACCCTCACCTATCATCTGGGGCTGGTACAATAGGCCAGAAGTGGCCACAGTACAGGGTACTTAGTCCCACCCCACTAGCAATAAAGAAAAAATAATAGTATTAATTGTGTGATTTAACTGTTCTGTTCAATTTGATTAACTCCTCTTCTTATCACTGCATGTATCTGTTCTCCACATGAGGGAAATGTCTGTGAAGACCTGAGTTTTTTAATGCCTGAAGTTTCTGTGCTGCTGTAACACTGGATGCAATAAAAGTAAGAGACCATGCAGGTCAATAGGCTTGTGAGAGGTCAAGGCTCTTAGACAATCAGCTCACAGATGGCGGTGAGGTTGTCAGCCTTACACGCTAACCGCCATTTAACCCAAGGAAGATTCCTGGTACTCATTACAGGATGAATTGATCCCAGGGCCATAGTGCGGCTGGAAGGATTAGGTCAATTTTAAAATCAAACGACCTCATAGGGAATTGAACCCATGACCTTCCTGCTTCTAGCATCGTGCTTCAACCAACTACGCCACTGTGTGCCCCCCAACAACTGAACAAATACGCGGAACATGTACCTGCTTGAGAAACTCCTCCAAAGCCATCTCTCCCTGCGCAACAAGAATTATATCTTTCACTACAGCTTCATTCTTCTGCAGGTTTACGTCCCACACTTGGCCCAGTGTCAGATCCGACAAGACCCAGTTCACACGCAGCTGTTTCATCAGCAACTTCCAATGTCGTTCCTTGAGGGCATCTGACTTCAGCTCCACAATCATCATGTTCACCTAGTAAAGTATGAATAAAAAATCAGCTTTACATCTCATTTATCTGTGGTCTATTAACTGGCACTGTCAACAGTTCAGGGCATACAGCACGAAAGGATATGGGCCTGTGCGTGTGAAGCCGAGAAGTATCCACCAAGATGATTCTGGTACTCAAATGCCAGTGAGAAAATCGAATGCACTACTTACACATAACTTTTCATCTGTAAAGTTGCCTACACAAGGTACAAGGTACCACTGTTCATGGAGTGGGTGCACTATCTTATAATAACTTCACAAAGCACAATCCCACATCCATAAAGTAAAAGTAAAGGTATCCCTGTAACAGGCTGTGGAAGCCCACAGGGTTGTGAAATGTTGAGGTTCTCACATTTTCTAGACAATTGGCTCATAGATGGCAGCGAGGTTGTCAACCTTACGTGACGGCCGCCCTTTACCCACACCCCCAAGAATGTTCCTGGTACTCATTTCTGTTAGAGGCTGAGTTGACCCCAGGTCCATAATGTGGCTGGAAGGATTAGGTAAATTGAAAAAAAAAAATCCACCTCATCAGAATTCGATCCCATGACCTTCCAGCTTGTAGCATAGTACCTCAACCAATACATGCCCATAAATGCAACTCCAAAGTACCTCCGGCAGATTTCTCACCTTGGTGTAACTCTGCAGCAGCTTCTTCACATACTCGTATGATGAATACTGACGCAACCTTGCCGGAAGTTCCTTCAACTGAGCCATGAGTGTGTCCAGCTGCTGACGCAGCTTGCGAGGTTGGACTGACAGCCATGGCTTCTCGCGTATCTCATCAATTTGTGCCCAGATACGAGATAGTTCAGACCACACACCTCGCAGGTCCTGCAGTTCCTCAAAAACAACCTGCATCCTGTCTTCACTTGTGCTTACACCTCCTATGGAAGGAAAAATGGCTTTCTGATCAGTAAACAATGTTGTGCGTTCTCCACAGTCTGGGATATATTTCATATCTGCAACATTCTGGAAACCAAATGTTTCCACCATCAGGTGTAAACGATTCCATTCAGCTGGGCCCATTAGAAAACCAGTGATTTCTTTCTAACATGCCCAGATGAAAAGGAACCTTTCCCCATTAAACCTCATGATGAAAATGGCTCCAGTTTTTGAAATGTTGTGCACATCAAATATACTCAAAACAATGGATAATGTGCAACAATGTTTGTGTAACAAACAAAACACTACTGCAAATCTCAACAGTAAAAATTAATCTATGGTAGTAAACAGGATACGCATATAGGACATTGATGGGAAAGCCAGAAGGAAAGAAACCACTGGGAAGACCAAGGTGTAGGTCAGTGGACAATATTAAAATGGATCTTACAGAGATGGGATGGGATGGTATGGATTGGATTGATCTGGCTCAGGATAGGGATCAGTGGAGGGCTTTTGTGAACATGGTAATGAACATTCGGGTTTGGCAGCTCCTCCAGAAGGGCTCAGCTCCGTGAGTGAGTGAGTGAGTGAGTGGGTGGGTGGGTGAGTGAGTGAGTGAGAGAGTGAGAGAGAGAGTGAGTGAGAGAGAGTGAGTGAGAGAGAGTGAGTGAGTGAGAGTGAGTGAGTGAGTGAGTGAGTGAGTGAGTGAGTGAGTGAGTGAGTGAGTGAGTGAGTGAGTAAGTAAGCAAGTAAGTAAGCAAGTAAGGTAGTAAACAGGATAAGTGGTAAATCCAGCATTTCACTGAGTAACTCATCACTAATCTGATGTGAAATCAAGATAAGAACAATAAGAATGAAGTGTGGGGAAAATCATTGCGTTCTGCTTGCTGAATGTCATGACCTGTAACATGTGGATCAGCTGTATCTGATACCATGCACGTCATGAATCAGAATTTCACTGTAGTGAAAGAACATAACTAAAAAGAAAGATCTATAAAAATCCATAGTTTTTTTACAGTTCTCTACTTAGGTGAAGGATAAGGAAAAAAACAGGTTATCACATTCTGAACTACAAGTAATAAAATATGCCTCTGAACACATTTTCACTTCATTGGTATGTCTTGTTTTGTTTAAAACTACCATTACAACAGCACATACACATTATTGTGTGCAAGTTTACCAGGTTCCTGAAGTTCTAGGGCCTCTTTAGCCTTCGCAACGTTATCCCGCTCTTCCTTAAGCCGAGCAAATTTGCTCTCATACATCTGTAGGTGTTGCAAGGCTTCATCTGGTCGGAGATGACCCTCAACGGGTTTGTTCCTTTCCCAGTCATTGAGAAAATCATTGGTACGTGTTTCCACTGCTTTATCCTCAGCCACGATCTTCATCTGCAAGCTTGCAACCTAAACACGATAACAACATAAGTCATCATGAACAGAAACAAGTAACGAATATCACCAAAATGTTTGTGACAGACATAGGTAATTTCAAAACCTGACTGACCAAGAATACTACTTTAAGGCTGGGGCCACACGAGCGAACAAAATGCGTCCGTTGTAACGAATGTACTTTATGACGGATGTTGCTGAGGACACCACACAGTTACAGAACGCGGTGCGTAGTTTCTTGTCTGCAATGGAGCCAGAAGAAAGCGTAGCATTCACCTCTTTTGTTTATTTCTACAACAGACGCATTTTGTGCACTCATGTGGTCCCAGCCTAACCCTGCGGCAGCAGAATACAAAAGCTCAAAACTAGTAGCACCAAATTCAGCTTCTGGACATGATCTTCAGACATTTCTACCCAACCCCCATCATCTCGACCTATTTTCTAATGATCCATCCTAATATTATCACTCAATGTAGTCAGTGGTCCTTGAAGTAATTCACAGTAAGTTTCACCATCAAATTCTGTACCCCAATTTGAGTTACATGTCTAAGAGCTCAAATGCCTTGATATCAATACTTTAGCAATATAGGTGACCTGACATCCCAAAATATTGTTTTGTAATACCCTAAATTGCACACACTTCATTCTTCCCTCCTGGGATGAAGATATTTCCCAACAACTCTGCTTCCTCTAGTAGACAACTGGTAACAATGATTAATGTATTTCTGGTAACCCAGTGCAAAACTCAGATGAAATGGGTTTTTGGACTTTGTCCATTGTCCAGTATACTCGTACTAGAAACTAGAAAACACATTTCAGAAAATGGATCTGTTTCGGTCAAGTTTCCAAAACACTGTGTTTTCTATTTTCTAGAATACCACATGATGGACAAAGTCCAAAAACCCAATGATTCTAAGTGTTATACAGCATCATCAGAATCCTTTAGAATCTACCAGTGCAAAACTGTAATATACTGTAGCCACACGTGTGTCGGCATTCATGTCAGGCCAAGCAAACAGGGACTGGATGTAAGAATGCTTTCAGATAATTGAAAATAAAGGGCTGTGTGAAAGAAAGAACAGATTCCAACAACACACAAATTCAAAAATGTTTCTCATGTTCACGAACATATTCTGCGGTAGCAGCATAAACACTAAAACTGAAGACATCATTTGGAGATTACCTTCATAACCCTTTAAAATAAGACTGTCTCATGTCTCTGTACCTGAGTTTGGATAGACGAATCCTTGCGCTTGATAATCTCATTGAAAGCTCCCCATTCGCCCTCAATGTTATCAACATGCAGCCAGCTGCTTGGAAACTGGAACCTCTGCCTCTCCAATATGCGCTGACCCTCCCTGTACACCTCCACCTTGAAACATAACGCAGTAGCATAAAAATGTGTTTCATCACCACTCAACTTGAAACATCCTGATGCTCTCTAAACTACACAGTCACAGTCCAGGAGACTATACTCTCCTGCCATCCTGCATCTTCCAGCAAGCAATTAACCTGAACTCGTACACAACTCCTGCTCTGAAATTCACTCACAATACTCACCATGGTGAGCACATAAGTTTGGCAAATTTACCTGCTTCTCCCATGCTTTCATCTTCCTCTTCAGAGATTGCACATAAGTTATGAAAGTCACTGCGTCCGAAGTGCTCGCCGCTTCAATTGACTGCTGCTCCAGTTCGCTACGAGACTGCAATGAAAATGGCTCTCAACATCAACACACTTCTAATGCTGTTAACTGCACATTCTAATTAACACTATGCATTTAAAATTTATTCCATTCACATTTTGTATGTCAGACATGTTTAGTTCATGAGTTACCTTACCTTTGACACCTGAGTGTGGAACTGTGACATGTCATTTCCTAGCAGAGACCCAAACTTTCCCAGAGTCTCCTTATGCCATGAATCATACTTCAGCGACACTTTGCTCTGCACTTTAGCGTAATCGATCACAACTGGGCCGAACTCACGACGAGTATCTGATGTATCAAATGTGGTACGTGTTTTCCTGTAATGTTAATATTACTTCATGCCATATAACTATGAAAGAATAAATCTGTCATGGTAATTATTATTTTACATTGACCTCACGATATGACAGTCTGACAGTAAGTTGCTACTGCACTTCTCTGACAAAGGTTACAGGGTTCCAGACCAGCTGGATCCTCTGAATAGGTGGCTTTAAAATAGTTTTCAGTAGTTTGTAATTGAGTCACCACAAAACTGTAGAACCCACAATGCAACACTGTGAAAGATACTTTTCCCAGACACAATTTCATATGAAAATGCAGGAAAATATTCATAAGCTGGGTAAAATGTTGGACATTTCAACAGTGAATGAAACTACAAGAAAAATATCATTATTAACCCTGTATTTAAACAAACTCTTTCTCCTATAAACCTACAATAAGCACACAGACTCAATTATGTAGAAATGAAAGGGGCTCAAATAGAATACGTGGTGTGTTCAAAAAGTATCGAGCCTTCTTCTTTCCCGCCTAAACCAATGAAGCGCGGGAGGCTCCCTTCAGTGGAGATGCGCAGTCGTGAATTTTTTCCCGCCCGCAGAAAGCATCAGTCGCTGGCAGTCGGCCTATGAGTGAGGACATGTAGCGAGCGTTCGTCGGATTCCAGTAAGGTGTAAAATGACGGAACAACATGAGAAGCGATATTGCATCAAATTTTGCTAAAAGCTTGGCGATACCCAAGTGGAAACCATCCGCAAGATTCAACAGGCTTTCGGGGATGATGCCATGAGCAACTCACGGATAAAGGAGTGGTACAACTGCTTCAAAGATGGCCGCACATCACTGGACAGCGAACCGCGTTCAGGCAGACCCTCAACAAGCCGAAATGAGAATGTCATTGAGCAAGTGCAGACTTTGGTCATGGAGGACAGTCGTATCACAGTCCGAGAACTTAGAGAACGAGATAGGAGTAAGCATTGGATCAGTACATTCAATTTTGACCGAGGATTTGGGCATGAGGAGAGTGTTCGCGAAATTTGCACCAAAACTGCGCATCTGATTCAGACTTTCGTCGCCAAACACAACTTCCCTGTGGTTCGTCAGGCTCCCTACTCCCCCGACATGGCTCCGTGTGACTTTTGGCTATTTCCCAAGCTGAAAATGCCGCTGAAAGGAACCCGATTTGAGTCAAGAGAAGACATCATGTGGAATGCGACGGCCCAGCTGATCACCATTCCAAAAGACGCATTCCAGAAGTGTTTCCAACAATGGCGGAAGCGCTGGGAGAAGTGTGTGCATTACCAAGGAGACTACTTTCAAGGGGATTAGGGTTCTGTACCTCCAAATCAATAAATGTATTTCTGCCAACCAAAGGTTCGATACTTTTTGAACACACTACGTATTTACAAACAATCTCTGGCTTTCCTCTCGCTAGAATGCACATATATTTTTCATTTTTGTATTCTGGTAATACCGTCCTACGCAGCTAGCTGCTGCACTTGCTATAACCTTAGATGTTTGAAGTTAGTGTAAAAAAAAATCATAAAATTCTCCTTAATTTGGAAACTGTGATAAGGACAGCAATTGTGACAAATTACACAGTTCAAATGTTATTGTATTTAGTGAATTTATAAACAAATTGGGGATCTCTCAGTCCCAGGATCCACGACATTGCAAAGTACCTTACAAATGAAAGGACTCAAAACCAGGAAGGGAGAAACTGTACTCTCAAACAAGAATGTGACTTACTTGATATCATTAAGACACTTCATCCAGAGGTTGATGTCCTCACCAAGCTTCCCGTACAGGTTGTCTGGCTGCAGATCCCAAAGGGACTGGTACTGCAGCCACTCACCCACATATGTATGAACCTAAGAGATATGAAAAAGATATGACACTTCCATAAATTTCATGATTTGCAGTTCCTAAAATTACTATACGCAACATGATTTTAGTAAGAAGGTGGTGTAGGTGAATACCATCACGTTAGAGGAACATTCCTCTGAAGCGCTGGCAACCACCTACAAGAATAAACAGTGCCATAAAGATGTGTATTACTTCACTTCCTGTCAATGCAGTCTCACATTTCAAGACTTTTTAACTGGACAGCAACAAGCAACATACAGGAGAGAGACAAATACAGCCACTTAAAACACAGTGAATACCTGTTTAATCTTGTTTTCAATGGCCTCATATGCTGACTCTAGAACTGTGCTCCCTTGTGGCAGTTTGGTGAGGAGATTGCGATACGTCTGTGATGTTGGACGATCGAGGCCTACTTGGTAACGAGAGCTCTGGAGACGAGTCTGAGATGTTACAATGGCTTGCCAGGCAAACAACTGTTGCATGATTTGGAATCGTGCTTCTTCGATGCTGGGAAAAAGGTACATTATCTGATTTGTGATCCGTACCTCATGCACCACAGTCTGAATCTGGAAGCAAACATTACATTCAGTCAAAATTACTTTCCACTGGATAGCCCCAACAGTTTAACAAGCAGAATTCTTTTGACATCTACTTTCATCTAATGATCTATAAAGCGAACTCATGGATGTTATTTTCGGTTCTCATAGCAGTGGGATTTCAGTCTTCTTGGACTTGATGTGGATGTGTAATTTGACGGACAAGTACCAATGTTTCAGGGGCACCTTGAAGATGGAGGCAGTGGGTTCCTCTGACATGTCAGTACCAGCCCTTATCTACCAAATCAGACAATGTTACAAAAAACAAACAACCTTCGTGGTTCTAGTCCTCAAGCAAACTATACCGACCAAGCAACCGCCGCTTGTCGGCAAAGTTAGTACCAACTTTAGCGGATGGAGGGTGTCACGTGGTCAGCAAAAGAAATCCCCATGGCCATTTATTTCGGTTTTCTAGACTAGAACCGCTATGTCCTTGAAACGGCTCCTCAACTATCCTCACGAGGCTGAGTGGACCCCGTTCCAGACCCACTACTTCTCAGAAAATCTGACAGCACCAGGAATCAAACCCGGACCTCTCGATCTGTAGCCAGGAACTCTGACAACTAGATCACAGAGGCATTCCAGACACTGTCACATCTCAGAAAACCATAATCTTATGCTCCAAGATGTGTAACACCATCTTTTCTGTACATACACAACTGTGTTTCTATTTCTTAGTGCTCATACCACATGTACAAAAAATGTTTACCGATGATAATGACTGTACAGTATACTACCTACTATCCATGAAACGTTTAATCAGTTTTCAGCTTATCTCCATGGCACTTCAGGCATATCTGCAACTCTGTGGAGCACCCATAAACTATGCTATTACTTATGCATCTCTTCCCCTTCATTAGCCCAGGCAACTGGAAGGACACTCTGCAAATCTGTCCTTACTGCTAGGCATATGTAAGATATTACAAAATACATAACAAAAGTAAAACTGGTGAAATTTTAAAATTTACTGAAGAATAAAATTCATGTCAACAAATGTATTCTTTGCTCTTAGGCTCTGTGGAGTTCGGCTGCTTACCTGTGGGTCTCCGCCAGGCTTATGGGTGGGCTGAGTGGGAGCATCTGTATCCATGCTCAGGTCAATTTCCTTCTTGGTGCCGTTTAGAGCGTTTGTCCACGCCTGGATACCGGACTGCAGACGGGCAGCCAAGTTCTTCTCAACCTGTGAATGTAGATACTTCATACATATTACTGTTCTGACTCAGTGCCTATACTTATCTGCTTAGCTGTAGCTCATTTATAAATTAGGAAAATCCTGAGATGTATATATGGGCTAGTCAATGAGAATGGACAGTGGAGATGCAGATACATGTAAATGACATAAAGCTGAGGAGATTACAATGAGCAGGGCATGTGATAAGGATGCCTGAAGAGAGGATACCAAGGAAGGTTAAGATGGGAAGATTGGAAGGAGTAAGACCAATAAGCAGACCAAAGAAATGATGGAAGGAAGGCATCCAGACAGACATGAAGGAATTATTGAAGGTGAAGAACTGGAAAGCATGGACGCTGGACAGGAACAAATGGAGGCACATAATTGGGAAGGCCAAGGCCCAATTTGGACTGTAGCACCATAGGAGGGGGTAGCTCATTTACTGAACCTGTCAACAGCTTAGACTATACAGCATTAGATGATCAGATGACAGAAAATAATGAATTAGAAAGGATGAGGAAGAAAATAAATGTGCCCTAATTTAAGATATCATCCCAGCATCTGCCATAAGGGACTGAGAAAAACCATGGAAAAGCACTGGATAGTCTATGTCCTAGTGCAGATTCAAACTGGTCATCTCCAGAACACACTGAGGTTGTTGTTTGCCTGTGAAATTCATTTTGCTTCATAATTACAGCACTTAGCCATATCACTTCATACGGCTTCAGATATCTGGCTCAGTGCTGTAATTATGAGGCAAAATGAACTTCACGAGCACACAGCAACCTCAGTGCAACAAAATTATGTTTCCAGCTTCATCAAAACCGATTTAAGATTCCTCACATATCAAAATTTCATAAGTACACTCAACAATTTGAATGTCATCATGATTTTTTCTACCTTTTGTCCCAGGCCACTGTGTTGAGACATGTATCATTTTTACACTAGAGTGAACTATCGGAGAAGCCAACGAGTGGGTTGCAGTACCCACAGGCCACAGTAGGCATACTCCCTTAGAGCTCCCATGCAACCAGTGGACACACAGCAATGCATCCAAGTATCAGAGAGCAGATACTGGTACCCCGGGTTACAATGCGTTAAGCATCTGGAGGAGATTCTGGCGACTGACATGGCAGTCATGTCAAAACACACACCACACCACAGTTTCACATATCACTAACCTCTTCATCAAGACGAGTCACCCATATGTGAAGGTTTGAATACTGTCGGAGACTTAAATCATCAACTGCATGCTGGATTTTACCAAGGATGTCTGCAAAAGTATTTGCTGAATATGGGCATGTCTCCAATGAACGGACATCTACATCCAGCTGTTCCTCCACAACTAGAAGGTCTTCAACCTTTTCCTGGAAGCTGAAGACCACTTCTGCCAACCGCTGAACATACGGGTCCAACTTGTAGCTCTCCCACACAAGAGCAATGCCCTGCAAGTACATATTCACCATAGTGAAAATGTTGCAAATAAAAGTTACAGATCTCAATTAAACAAGCTCAGTCAGTATAGTGACTCTGAAGATGACTGTCTTCTAGGATATTAAACTAAGTGCTCTGACAGAAGAGGAACTCTTCCGCTCTGAAGTTCTCTGATTTTGTCAGTAGAGAACTTTTTAACTAACGAACCAAACATTAATCCTCAAATATTTATGGAATTTGGTATTTTTAAGTCTGAACAATGGAAAATTGTGCATACTTGATCTGCACATGGCAAACCCACAGTGACCGGCTGTTGAATTCATTAGTCTATCTTAAGAAAAATTTCCTCATGTAACCAGCCCTTCAATGTAACACAAGGCAAAGTTTATCTGTCTACCAAATGTAAATTATGTACATTAGTAAATTGTTAGAATAACAACTGTTAACACCATCCAGGGTGATTCGATCTGTAGGTATTTATTGCCTTCACATGTTTCGGTCAGCTGACTATCTTCAGAAGGCATGCCATCAACATGTTCAGGAGCTACTACTTAGCAGATTTATATAAAAGTTATTACAATTATTTGGTTTAAAATCTTATCAATGCCTAATAATTAACATAGTAGACCAATCTGGTTCGTGTCCTTGCGCCCCTTCTGTTAAATTGGAATGCTGGGGTTATATATCTGGAGTCCTCAGAGGTCCTTGCAGTGATGACCCTTTTTTTTTTTTTAGCCTTTTATGGTTCCGTATCATTGTGATGTCTGGTTGCTTCCTTACTGCTGTGTTTTGAGGCACTCGTATTAACAATTATTATTCTATAATTTAGTTTACTAGTATGACGGACTAGAATAAATAGAGTTAAATGTACATTAGGTTTTACAACCACTCCAATAAAGAAACTACATCAGCTGCTTACCTCAGCAACAAGCATCTGGACCTCTCTACGCATTCCAGCAACAAGAGGAATAATGCTGGCTTTATCTTCAATCTGCAACATAACATAGCCAATTGTGATATTTCCTGTAACAAACTCTGAACTTTCACTTGCCATATTTCTGTATAATAACACCAATCTGCAAAAATGTATTTCTTCAATATTGCAAGTAAAAGTCCATAACAATATGAAGAGTTCTGTCTTCTGGGATACAAATGCCATTCAGTCTGATGAAAGTCAACTATACATCAGAGGAACTCACTGTCTCTGTCTTCCACATCAGAGTAAGGCAAGTAAGAAACCAGCAAACAGAATTGGTTTCTTACTTGGTGCACTTGTCAACTCTGAATGTGCAGGGGACATGCACCTCCAAAATGCTGCTGGCTGGCTTTCATCAGACTACACAGAGTGACATCACAGAAGAAAGAACTCGTCACAGTCACCACAATGAGAACCTCAAATCTTCCATCACAATATGGCTGTACACAAACCAAACTGACGTACGTTGTAAGATTTCACATTCTCATTGCAGTAACTACAGAGAGTGATGCCATGTAGTCTGGTAGCATTTTACTGACATTTCAGAGGAAAATACTGTTTTCATTCTGAGGGTTAAGGAATAAACTAAAGATGCAAGCACAATGCATACTACAAGTATTATGTTTTCGGACATTATCCATCGTCCTGTCTATTTTCTAAAAAACCATCCTGTTTATTTTCCAAAACACAATGTACACCTTCTTGAAACTGGCATAGGTGTCCGGAGATAAGGATTAGCTCTATCTATTGGATCAAACTGAGTAGGTTTTACCTGAGAACAGGAACAGAATCCAGTCTCCAAAACATTGCGTTTTGAAAAATAAACAGGACGGTTTTTAGAAAATAGACAAGACGATGGATAATGTCCAAAAACGTAATACTTGTAGCAATGTGCCATCATAACAGACTTTTAGATCTTACTTGGGTTACTCTTTGACCCTGAAGATGGGGCAGTATGTTCTCCCAAAATGTCAGTAGAGTTCTTCCAGAGGTTCTCACAGCGGTCACTATGATGAGTACTGTCTCCTGGGGAGCAACGCCATGTAGTCTGACAGAAGTTTGCCAGTGTTTCTGAGGAATGTACTGTCTTCATCTTCAGGATCAAAGAGTAAGCCATGCAAGCAACCAGGAACATGTAGGCAGCAAGCAGAGCACTCTGCTCTGGTACCAGACTGCATGGAGGCACATCTCAGAAGACAGTACTCTACCAACGCTACTTCTTCATCCAATCAAGCTGGAAAAAAATTGATGGATAGAAAAGCATAAAATTAAAACATGAAAGGGAAAAAGCTGTATATGTATGAGCCAAAAGCAGCATCAAGAAAGAAATACTACACGCAGGACAGAGTTACAGCTGATTGCAGCCCAGTGTTACACTGACAGGGGGTACATTACTAACATATGGAGATGATACATGGTAAGACCTGACACGAGCTTTACACCCATCTGCCAACAATCAGTGAATACTACAATCATGAAGTTTACTTACATTTCAGATTAACAAACGCTCAGAACTATTACATATTTATACCAAGAATATGCTTATATTTGGAGGCCATAATGCCATACTTGAAAGCCGCTGCTCATCACACATAACACAAACAGTGGATAAAGTTTCACTCAAACAAAACAGAAAAGCAAGATACTTTCCATACCGTCCGCACTGGATTAACTAGCAGCCCATAAAACATGATGACTATAAACAGTGGCCATTTCAGTTCTATGTGTGCATGCATTATGATGCACCATTAACAAGCAGGTTAATATTAAGATCTGAGAGTTTGTGGGCAAAAGGGAACATCTAATTATAAATTCTAAACTACCTGCTCTTGAAGCATCCACATGATCTACTGAAAGCAATTACTTCATCTTTGTGAGAGCTGAGGCTCATATATGTAGTCTGGCATAGAGTTAGAGATGTTTTGCAGGAACCTGCTACCTCAATTTTCCATGCTGAATGCCTATACTCCACTTTTGTTTGTTCTATGGTTTATGTGGGCTTCTGTACTCATAAAAGTGTGATATCTGAGGTTCTCACAGCAGCAAATGTTACGGTTACAGTTTCCTGAGATGTGATGTCATGTATGTAGTTTGGTAAACAGGTTCCTCCAGAATGTCGGTACACATCTATCGAACTATGCCCTGTCACATTCCATGAGACTATAATTTATCACAACATTCTCATGTGTACAGAAGCAATGTTATAATTCACACTCATTTACTTCCTGAAAACCATTAAGAATTCAACTATACATGCAATTAAAAATTAACCACCTGAATCAGAAATGCCAAAATTTTGTTGCCTGTAAAACAACATAAATTTACAGCAGGAACTCAAACCTATACGTAATATGATTTGTAAGTTATGCAGCTCTTCACTGAACCCACAAAAGTCTAAGCCCCTACATAATAAGTAGCAAGGCAAAAAAATGCATCATATGCTCTGAAGTGTAGTCAATTATTATACAGATTGCATATAGAATAACCTCTTACAGAACAAGAAAAGCAAAACAAAATCATAACACTATTCTTTAACTAGAAACAACATAACCAGAAATAATTATATTGAATTAGATCTGAGAGTCTTATGACAGCAAACGCAAAAATTACTTTCTTCTGGGATACGATGACATGGAGTCTAAGAGAAAGTTATAGACATCTTGGGAGGATCCTGCGTCATTCTACCATGAAGATGGAGGCAGCAGGCACTTGCAATACGCTGACAACTTTCAGTCACACTATATGACTTATCATCCCACAATCCAGTAGCCTTCAAATACATTGTTTTCTCTGGCTATAATTGTTGTGCATTTTATGAATTTGTCCTTGACTTGACTAACTTTTATAATGGACAGAAACATGTCTGAACCCTTCTTGGCTACACTTGTGAATGTGATCCTACTTCCACAAGGTTACAGTTGCTACATTTGCATTCCTCAGTACACAGACATGTAGACAAAAACAGAATATGACAAGAGGAAACAGCATTCCACTCAGTGGACTGAGGCTGGTGGAATACACAATTCTGTCCACAGTTTTTAATCTACTTTCCACAACTTTACTATTATGGGGGGAGTAGCAGGGGGAGAGATAAATGGCTTGGTTTTATGTATAATTTAAGTAATTATATTTATAGTATAGACCTGATTACCCATCTCAATGAAGGGGAAAAGAATCACATAAAATGGAAGAATGAGAATCCAGCTTTTGTGTGTAACTGGACACCACAACTGCTAAATACAGGAATCTGAAAATACATACATAGCACCTGACTTGTTCTATCATCTTGAACATGAGACGTGTGTATTCATTAAGAGAGAACCGTCGACATTTAAGTTGTCTGTCTCCTTGCTTTATGCACAGTACATCTGTAACATATTTCCAACATGCAAGTGATGAAGTACTCCTTGTCCTCAGGTCTTTGCAGCTGGAGTTTCATGTACAACTCTGGCATTCAAGAAACTTCAGCAAGTTGTCATCTCACCGCTCCCTACTGGACAGCACCCTCTTCCTCTGTTCTGTCTAATCAGAGCTTCACTTCCAACTCACCAACCACTGCAAGATCTACTATGCAAGGGCTTCCAAAACACCCCAAAAGACATTAACCCTGAAGTTGCAAAATGCAACATTTGCTGAAATGTTAGAAAACCTTCAACGTTCCACTCAGCCGATTCTCAAAAGCCAAAGTCACACACAACAAACTACCGTTGATTCCACCAGCCTCGTTTGACCAATGTTGAGTTTTGGTGAATAAAAGGATGAGAACAAGATACTGAGGGTTCCACTGTCTTATGTCTTAAAAAAGAACAGAAAACAAGACAGGGCATTGACTTCTTGCAACAAGAAACCTTGAAGCTCAGTTACACATGCATGACTTCCTTCTACATATACTTATCAACAGATAAGGTTATGTGGTACATGAAATTCTAACATATTAGCAGTCCAAAATCCACTTGCAAATTCTACCTTGAATGATGGACTATTTGGGGAACTCCGGTTTGTGAGCTAGTTGTTGGTGGGAAACCAGAAAAAACAGAAAACATATTAATTTATCCCCACACGATCACAAACATGAAAAAGCATTAATAGGATCACTGATCTGTCGTGTACAGCATTTAATGGACCTGGAAGAAACCACACTATGTAGGTTGTAACACTACAATTAGCAATCTCCGCTTAAGTCATTAGCTAAATATGGGAAGAGAAAGGATTACAGAATACATACAAGCTAAGAAGTAAATACTACACAGTGTGATTGAATACGATTGTAACAGAATGCTAAAAATTATGTTGAAGCTGCCACTGTGGATATGCTTGCAGTTATCATCTGTTTGACCTTAGAGCCTCTGCCGGACTTAGCAGCTGTGAAGAGCCCGTTCGCGAGGCACAGAAGCTAATGCCACCCTTACATAGGATGATTCAGGGGACCTACAGCTTAACATGGACTCTGAACCACAACAAATAAATGACTTCCAAGACAAAGATCTCATGATCAAGACAGCGAGACCCAGCGTATGCCTTTCTCACAAACAATTCCCTTCCCAGCCCTCAGAAAGAAGTAACACTTTATGTTCAGAATAATGCAAAACAGATTACAAAGTATATTTGAAATCAATGGTAACATACAATGCTGAAACATGGACTTCTACAAAGAGAAACAGAAACAAAATCCAAGTGCTGGACATAAAATTCTTAGCAAAGACATTGGAAATCAGCATCTGCTAACAGACTTGTAAGAGATGATTATAATGGTTTGGTCATGTATTAAGACTGGATAGAACAAGGATATTTAAAGGTGCATTAAAATTAATACTGAAGGAACACAGACACTGGAATGACGTAGAATAAGATGGTTTAGGTGAATACTGTTAAGACCAGCAAGAAGTGAAGAAAGGCTTGGAAAGGAACTGAGAAAGAAAGATTGTCGGAAAACAGAAGAGAATGGAGATTTTATTTGACCCATACAAAACAGTGTTATGACGATGATGATGATGATGATGTAGAAGAAGAAGAAGAGAAATGCAAGTAATAAGAATAAGAATTATATGAATAACAATAATGATGAGGAGGAAGAGGAGAAAGAAGAGGAGGAGGGGGAGGAGAGGATGAAGAGGAGAAAGAAGAGGAGGAAGAGGAGAAGGAAGAGGAGGAGAACGAGACCCCCAATTGTGTTCAAACTTCACATGAAGTTGAAAGACTTTTGTGCTGGTATCTGTCCTGCCATCAGAGCTAAAGGAACAAGTCTCAACACTGCTGGGGTGACAAGAGGCCAGGCAGGACAAATAGACCCATACCTCAAACCATAAGCCACAGCATGTTAAAGTCAGGAGTCCATAATGCTGTCTGGTGAGGAGCCCAGTTTTAAGCTTCCAAATGTATGAATTCTGAAATAATTTTGGATAACAATCATTTTCAATTACATCATCATGGCTTTCCCCATGGGGCCTCTAGTCCAAGTGCAATTTCTGTCAGTATCCTAACTTCCATGCATGCATGTCAGGGGATCAGGCCCCCAGCAGCACAGACACAAATTCCTGTGACTCTTTCTTTAGGAATTCATGAAGGGGAAACTATTTCCAAAAAGCCAACCTGACTGATGGATGAATCTTAATTTTAATAGTATGCATCCCGTTGGGATTAAGGCCGTGCCGTAGCTCAAGCAGTTAGTCACTGGCTTCCCACTGTGGCGGCCTGGGTTCGAGCCCAGGTCTGGTCGAGTGGGATTTGTGGTGGACAAAGTGGTGCTGGGGCAGGTTTTCTCTGAGTACTTCAGTATCCGCTGCCAATCTTCATTCCACCAAATTCTCCATCATCATAATCACCCGGCGCAGGTACAATACACCAATCAGTGGCCGACATGCTGAGTGAACCAGCTGGACTCCCCCCTCCTCCTCTATGCAAAAAAAAAAAAGCATCCTGTTGTGTGTCACAAACAAGGTACACAAATTGTATACAAAAGTATGCAGTCTATATAACAATAACAACAATACTGTTGTGTAGACTGCATACTTTTGTATACATTCTATGTACCTTGTTGATGAATCTCAATGCCATGGTGTCCAACCATGTCAGAAGATTACAGAGGACATGTGCTGCTGCATGCTCGTGAACAGACATTTTCATCTTTTTCTGACTTTAAGGAAGAATGGTACCCATACTAAACATGTACTCCACTAAGGATAAACTCCATGCCTTGGTCCTTGTGTATATATGCAGATCTGTACCATTATATTACAATTACAGCATCTGTGTAAAGTTTAAACTGGGGACAACTTCATGTGCCATGCGCCACTGCATGAAGGCTGCTTTCCTCTAATGTAAAGATATCCACTTCATTGTTTCGGGACTGGGAGCAATACCAGTAAATAGTAATTAAATGATTTTCAGAGACTGCAGCATTGATACAGGATATTTCCAGATTTTTGGGATTTTATGTTGTTTTTAATTATCCATACTACATCTCTGTTCCATTACCATGCATAACGAAATCATTTCCAAAATAAGATGTACAATGTCTGCTCAAGCATGTGACTTAACCACACACTCTTGCGTCTTTTTGTGATTCAAATATAAATGTTTGTGATGTAAGCAAGAATCCAGTTTCTTTTGGCATGACAATGGATGCAGAGAATGCACTTAGCCACTTGCATGACCAGTGCAGCTGAACAAACTGCCTCAGTTAACAGTTGTGTGGGAATACCAGCAAGGGACCAGTGACAGCTCAAGATGGTACATACTTGAAAGTAACATGTCTCATCTGCAACAAGCATTTAGTTATTCCTGTCATTTCTCATTCACAGATGACAGAGGTAGACTTCTTGTGGCAATTACCACTGATATGTAACTGGTGAATTCTTAGAAACAGGCACAGTTGACAGATATTATGAGGCCTTCATTCAGGAAGGTGCTTGCTTCAGCGTTATGGACAGGGATCTTTGCGGGTAGGTTCTAACAAGTTTCGAGGCAAAATGGATCTATACCGGCTTTAGTGTCCGGGGAGACCAGAAAGTTGTCCCAACCACATGAATACAATTGAGCACAAAAGTCACAAACAAAACCTGTTATGGTAAAAACGTTTTTCCAACCGTACACCAAACAAGAGCGTTTCACTACTGTATCAATCCCATGTGGATTATGAGGAGCAACGAGAAGAATCTATCACCACGGAAGTAAAACAGATGCTGCAATTACCTTCTCAAGGGTTCTTTCATATGTCCTAACACTTTCAATCAGAGAGATGGCAAATGGGTACAGCTGGTTCGCCTGGTGCGCCTTGTTCACTATTGCAAGTGGCACACGGAAACCAAGGTTCTTCAGGTTTCGTACCTACAAAGAAAACACATCCATTATTATTATTATTTTGGAGGGGGTGGGTTTCCCCATGCACTGCAACTAGTTGTTAATCTATTGTGCGTCCCCTTTAATTACTCTACCAGTTGTCATGCCCTTCCAGTACTGGCGCTCGCTATCAGCCCCGTTCTGCCAGCAAGGTCAGCCCTCTCTGGCAGTGGTCCCCGATACTTCCCCATCTACCGGAGGAATTGGAAACTACTTGGGTGGGAAACTTTGCCTAATTTTGCTCAGAGGTCTCCTAGAGGCATGAGGATCTTTTATGTGTCGTAAATCTACGACACGGGACACACAGCTTAAAGTCCCTCCCGGAGGACTTGTTCACTGAATTTTTCCGCCCTTAAAAATTCCACGACCTCTGCCGGGTTTGAACCCGTGTACCTTGAGTCATGAGGTGGGAATGTTACCCCTAGACTACGGAGGCCGCTAAAAACATCCATACAAGCATCTTAAAACCGAAAAAGAATGCCCCACACCAGGATTACAGTACAGCATTTCATTCATTCATTAATTATACTGCAGTGTGGTTTATACTGTGTTCTCTATAACTGCATTGAAAAAAGAAACATGTGGGATAGCCATACGCTATATTCTGGATTTTGCATTATCCACATCCAATTTTATAAACAAGACATCTTAATTTACATAGAAGCCACAACTTGATCACTGAACACTTCTAAAGTACATGTAACACTGACATGTATATTGAACATTTTCCACTGTCTTTTTTTTACTACTGAAAACCAATTTTATATGCCAATTCTGCTTCCATCATCAGGCAAAAAAATAAAACAGAGGATCTGGTTATCTTGATCTGCTGGACCAACATAGCAGGCTTCACTCCTTTGCATGCTGATGGCAGGGGAAACATGCTTAAAAAGAAATAACCCATGATTATGGAAAATGTCCAACACATGCATCAGTTTAGCAACATATCATCACTGACCTTTAGACTTGCTTAATAAGTAATTTTAGTTCAAACATACACATACCCCTCTAGCCACCTCCCTTTCCTTTCTGAAAAACATTACCCATTAATGCTACACTGAAAACATGCAAACAAACCAGCATATGCAAATTCAGAATACTGACCTCTTTTGAAAGAGTTATAATCTCTGGGAGAAAGTTCACTTTCAGCTTCAGAACATTACCACGTCCAGTTCGTGAACGCTGACTCTCAATGGCAAAGATACGTCCAGTCACTCCTAGATTCCGCTGCTGAACTTTACGAGCCCAGTCATCGAATATTTCTTGGGTGTTCAGCTTCAGTCGAAAACTGTCTCCATCTGCCTTCAGTTTCTGTCCCTCTATGTGGTTCTCCCAGCCTTTCCCTAAGAATTACAAATGCCCAAGTATAAAATAAGACCTGTTTGACCAGCAAACAGTTCGTACTTTAACTGCACTGATTAACTTCTGTACACGAGTTGGTGAGGAGGGGTTTCAAAATGCAACATCAGCATGTCAGCCCTGCCACAGCATCACCATAGCTCCAGGGTTCCTGTCAGAGTATTTCAAGTCATCTGAAGGTGCCAGGAGCCAGGTCCCCACTGTACTTCTCTCGTACACTGTGGACGAGGGTCTAGGCTTCAGGAAAGAAGACAGAATCCCATAGGTTTTGAACATGAAACTACTAGGAACATGCCCTAGCAGAAGACCAGGTTCAGGATGGGAACATCATGCTCAGGAAGATGACTTGCAGATAGAAGGATGAGCACAAGAACAAGCTGAGGGCAAGGAGCTCCGAGAAGACATGGAGAGATCTGGCTGTTAGATGACACATATAAACCTAGGTGCCAGTAGCATGAAATGAATATTCATAAAACAGACTGAAGCAAAAGATAGCTCACTCATTTGTGGTCTATTACATAAATTACAATCATGCAACATATTAACATTTATCAAGTAAGCTATAAAAAGTAAGTAAAGGTATCCCTGTAACAGGCTGTGGAGGCCCATAGGGGCGTGAGATGTTGAGGTTCCCACATTTTCTAGACAATCGGTTCACAGATGGTGGCAAGGTTGTCAGCCTTACGCACAGGCCACCCTTTACCCCCAAGAATATTCCTGGTACTCATTTCTGTCAGAGACTGAGTCAACCCCAGGGATATAGTGCGGCCAGAAGGATTAGGTCAATTGAAAAAAATCCAATGACCTCATCGGGACTTGAAGCCGCAACCTTACGGATTGTAGCATAGTGCCCCAACCAACTATGCTACCGCATGCCCCCTTGCTATGGTAGCCTGAAATTGCATAATGGCAATGATAAACACCATGCTTACAAAACTTTTTTTTTTTACATTTATGGAAGGATTTGTGAAAACTGATTCTCACTACATAACACACTAGCAGAAGTGAGGTGAAGTGAAGTTATCCCTGTGCTTAATTAATTAAGCACTACACCATGAAAATGTCTGGAAAGGGGAGGTATAACTTCACCATTTTTAACCTCAACAACACATGGAGGTGAGTGGTCAGCTTCATGCACCAAATGCTTTATCCAAGGGGAGAGACCCTCTGAGCCCACTGGATAGGACAATGAGAAGACCCAGAGCTGACCAGCTGATGTTGCAGAAAGGAGGAAAGTCTCTTGCTCCTGCCAGGAATCAAAGAATAATTCAGTGGCTGTCCAGCCTGTAGCACAAGTGCTATACCAACTGAGCTATCCTTACTCCTGTAACATAACAGTACTCACGCATAGAGCTGAGCCCTTCTCGAGAAGCCGCCAGTTGTGCATCTACTCAAGAACTTCCCGGCATTTTATGGAACCTGACAGTTCATTACCATGTTCCCAAGAGCCCTCAACTGGTCCCTATCCAAAGCCAGATTGAACCTGTCCATACCATCCCATCTTTCTAAGAGCCATTTTAATATTGTCCACCCATCTACGTCTTGGTACACTAAGCAAAATGCTCACCTAATACATCTTCCACTCTTCTTAAGTACGCTGTGAGCTGTCGATCAATTTGCTTAGCCCACACTATGGAACCTGATATGGGAGGTAAGTCTCGTACAATACTCATACGACAGGACTTACTCTGTGGATACTGGACCTAGCAGAGAAAAGGACAAATATTTAATCAACAGATAAATTCAAAGGTTACAGAATTACTGAACTAAGATATTGTGACGCGTTATCTTATGTCCATCACCGTGACAACCGCTGAAATCAAAACGGACACTTTCAAGGCAACAAATAGGTGGAAACTGTGAATTCCCACAGCGACAAATCATAGTAACGATCTGTCATTGAGTAACAACGGGAAATAATGCACTTCCTAAGCAATGGATTGTTGAACTAGAATAATGCACTTCCGCGGTAACGAGTCTTCAGAAGGCCACTGCCGAAAGCAGTCTAGTATTTGACGAGATATTGTGGAAGCAGTAATTATGATACTGCAAGTGATAATAATTGTAAAGCGTGTGAGTGTATAAGTGAAGCACAATAAGGATTCGCTGAATACAAGACCCACGTGAATTTATTTGTCGCGTGACATACCCAACACGTGACAACTGATGTCATAAAAGTACCAACCTTGAACTTTTCATGTAAAGCTTCAATGTCATCCTTTACTCTTTGAATGAGCTGAGTCTGGTATTCCCGGATGGCACCACGAATATGAGGTCGAACAAACAAAGCATTGAACCTTGAAAAAATGCGGAACATCTCATTGGCATTCTTGGCTGTTCCAAGCTGGTCACGGAGGTGTGCTGTGATGCGTGTCTCCACACGATCAATTCGTTCCTCGTAACGTCGAACTGCTGCATCCCATGCTTCCAACCCCTCACGACTTATGTCCAGGCAGTCAACTTCCTTTACATTTTCATATGCAAGGTTAACTTCCTGTCAAAAATAAAACAGGATAAAACTCAATGCTTGGTTTATTTAGCAACAGGGCATCTCATTCAGGTCAAAGATTAGTTATATCACTGATGAAATAAGTAACAACAGCTTTACCTTTAGGTGGGACACGTTGCCCCAAACAAATTCCTTTAAATTTATGTGTGCGCTCAAACGTATCACTGAAGGTCGCAGTGCAAGGGCTGGTACAGGCCTAACCCTAATGCATTTATTCATTCATACATATGTGCTACATAGCAGTCATGAAAAGCCCAATGGGGTGTCAGACCTTGTTCCTGCCACAAAACCACTGCATGGCCCATAACAGACCCAAAATCAAAATTAGTACTTCATTATGCAAACCCAGAATCCAGAAATTGCCCTTCATTTCCCTTCAAAGTCGATATGTGTTCATTAAGATACGGGCATACAGAATTTTGGTTAACAATTTTCCTGGGAAATGTTCACTTAAAGATTGAGAAAGTGATGGGATGACAATATTAATATGGATCTTACGGAAACAGGCTGTGAGGACGGGCTGCAGATAAATAACTTCACAATCATGTCCAATGGTGAACCTTGGGCGGCGCTATAGCTCAATCGGTTAGTCGCTGGCTTCCCGAAGCGGCAGCCTAGGTTCGATCTCGGGTCAGTCTGATCAAGTGGGATCTGTGGTGGACAAAGTGGCGCTGGGGCAGGTTTTCTCTGAGTACTTTGGTTTCCCTTGCCAATCTTTATTCCACCAATTGCTCCACAATCACCCTCACCTATCATCTGGAGCTGGTACAATAGGCCAGAAGTGGCCACACTACAAGGGACTTAGTCCCACCCACTAGCAATAAAAAAAAATGGTGAACCTCTGGGTTCGGCTACCAGTGTCAGTTCATGAACTTTCCAGTATCCTGAGTCAAATACTGCACATACACATCAACGTCTTGCTAAGATTCAAACCCACAGCATCAGCAACAAACCTTGCCTTTCCTTCCCACTTCATATCAAAACCAACCAGATATTTCCATGAAAACCTACACTGATGACTGCCAATGTTCTTGGCATCAACGAACTGCAAACTGCACTAAAGATTTCTTGGGTGATAAGCCACTTCAAGGTTTAGTAAATAATGAACCTGATAACGGGAACAAAGCAACTCTCCGAAAGAATGCATTTTAACTCAGCTTTCAGTGGCTAATCATGTAAGATTTTAGTTCAATTATTCCTCATAAAAGCTTCAAATCGTACATAAACTTCTACGCACTCAATTCAACCAAAATCTACCTCTATGGCATTAGCATCAGCTGCCTCCAAACCAAGGACTTCTGGTTTCATATCTCCTGCTTCCTGTTGATCAGGAGTACTTGGATGCTGCGGCTGCTGATCTACCTGGCGAGTTGAAATTACAGACAGTAATGTAGGACGAAGCACACGCACAATTACTGTACGTAGCTGCTCATGTTGACGACGGAAGGAGCGCATATGCTCCATTCGGGTCTGTAGACGTTTGTGCGCAGGAGACACACGCCATACCATCTTCAAATGTTCATCACGCTTCTTTTTCACAATGTCCCTATGCACACAAACAAACTGTCAGGGTGCAAGAATCGGGAGATTCAATGCCAATGTCTGAACATTGATCCTTATCCTATGCATATTCAATCCAACCCCCTTCCCCACTAGTTAAGTCTCCCACATATATGTTACCCCATGTTCCGGTGACCCCAGACACATCTGCAACTGCCATTCTATTCTCGAGCCAGTTCAGAGGACTTACATCATTAATGCAATCTGTCCTTTATCACTTCCTCCGCACCATTTCTGAACCAACAGAGTGCTAATGGCTACCTATCCTTGTCTTTCATACTGCCTCCATCTTCAGGGTATGTGGAAGCAGTAAGCTCCTGTAAAATGTTCATAACTTTCATCCAACTATATGACTTCAAATCCCAAAGACATTTAGCAATGCTCTTTTGGCAACATTTTGAAAAAGCACAATACAGAACAAAAGCATACGAGCAGGAATCAATAGTATTCAATTTTTTTTGTTTCCATATTAAAATTTTCCATTTATTGCAGACAATTTTATACAAAATTTTTGGGATCAGATAATTTTTACTGTAAACATAGATTTCCACGTGATGCATTCAGATATGCTTTATTATATTACCAACGTCTAACCCACCCATCTACCTGCTTGCTTCTTAAACGATTTTCCCACTAAGCTTTGAAGCTTTCCCATCACATGTCCAGCCTATCTCAGCCCTACAACACAATAAACTGAAAGTGTACAGGAATTACAAATAATGGGATGTCATAGGATGTCTCAACTCTATATATGTATACACGCATCCTCTGACATGCCCGATTAGATCAGGTTCTTTATTCTATAGGAACACAAGAGAACCTTAAAACAGAAGGGTTAACACTGTTTTCTTTCATACCAGTAGTTACATACATAAACATACACTCACTGACATTCCTTTATTGCACAGAAGCACAGAAAAACATAACATAGAAAGGGTTATAAGTGTATTTCATATTACTTACAGTCTTATACTTCTGGCACACTTTTTTCTTCTGAGCAACAAAACAAACTTGATAATTTACAATGTGAAATAGCTCACCTCAGCAAGCCCTGCAGCTTATCATATTCGTCATCCCATGTTGTAAAGACATCAAAACATTGTGCCATAACTTTTTCAAATTCATCAAAAGGTATGTGCATCAGACGTCTTGTTCCTAGTACCTGCAAATTACATGAAGCAAGTTATAGTAAAAAAAATCATAATAACCTTTAAAGTTCCAGAAGTACGCCTACAGGCAGTATATCAGCACATGTTTCACATTGCCACCTCAGATCAGTTCCTCTTGAAACCATTCAATTAAAGAGTACCACGTTTTGGGATGATGCCATGTTGTCTGACAGAGGTTCACAGATATTTCTGAGGAATATACTGCCAAGGCCATGCTATAGCTTAAGCGGTTAGTCACTGGTTTCCCACCGCTGCGGCCCAAGTTTGATACCAGGTCTGGTCAAGTGGGATGTGTGGTGGACATACTGGCGCTGGGGTGAGTTTTCTCCGAGTACTTCAGTTTGCCCTACCAATCTTCATTCCACCAAATTCTCCATCACCATAATCACCCTGGGCAGGCTACAATACGCCAATCAGTGGCCACCGTGCTGAGTGGACCCAGTTGGACACCACCCCCCACTAAGTGAATTAAAAAAAAAACATACTGCCTCCATCTTCAGAGTATAAGAATAAGTCACACAAGCTACAGCAAGAAGCAAACTGAGCTCTCTGTGTGCTTGGCTTATTCTTCAACCCTGAAGGTGGACGGATATGTTCCTCTAAAATGTCAATGAACTTCCATCAGACTACACTACACAGTGCCACATCTGACACGGCCACTGCTGTGAGAACCACAAATCCAGAATCTTAAAGCAGATGGTAACACATGAGCAAGAGACAAGACTAACCATGAATAAATATAAAACTAAACAGTAAAGAATTGTGCCATTCAGAGAAGTACAATGTATGGGTAAGATTCTTCTAGAACGGTACATAATTTTCTGGGACTTCATGGTGATACAACTTTGTCCTAATTTGCAGATCATTTTCGTATTTATCTCTAGTGTGTTTGCAACACAAGATGAAAGAGATGCGCCTGTTAGCTTAGCCATGTCTGTCTGAGAAATGCTGCATGAATTTTAATGAAATTACATATTAAGGTTTATTAAAATTTGTCAGTACATTCAAATTTCTGCTTAAATTGAACAATAACAGACACTTTGCATGAACATCCACTAGTATTCCTGTGTTCATCTTAACAGTAAATTGGCAAATATTTATTACAGGTAAAAGTTGTTTAGAACATAACTTGTAGATAAAAATGTAATTCACATTTTAAGGTCAATATATGTTTCCTATCTCACAATTTCAAGACATTTAATGCAATAATGTGAACACACCACAGCTGTTTTGTTACATACTTTCTGACTTGTTTAATATATCTTCATATACATTAACAACACACAAAAACTGATGAAATATTGCAACAAACACTAACCTTCAAGAGCTGGGAGCCAAGATCCCTTGATATCGCTTCAACAAGTCGAAGAGCCCTCTGGATTGGATACTTGGTGCTGCGAATTTTTCGAAGATGCGAGAAAATGAGTTGCACAGCTGAACGGATGCGATCTAACTCAGTAGCTGACAGGAGGTCATTAATTGGGAAGTCCTTCATAAGTGGATTGTAGTCATTAACAGTAGCCAGTGCCTGCTTCAGACCTAATAAAGCAGCACAGAAGAGAACTCAGAATACATTGAAACTTGTTATACCACAGTCATGCATTAATGACATGTCCCCTTTCATTTTCACAGTGAAATATACATTAAAAAAAGTGTATGCTTGTATTCCAGTCTAGAAAACCAAAATTAACGGCTGTGGGGATTCACTGCGCTGACCACGCGACACCCTCTGTCCGCTAAATTTGGCACTAACTTCGTTGTCAAGCGGCGGTCACTCAGTCGGTATCGTTCGCTTGCAGACTAAAATCATGGAGTTTTTGTTTTGTTTGTATGCTTGTATTTAAGGTAATGTGGGATGTGCAATAATAAGAAGCTTTAGCATTTCTTCGCCCAATCAGAAGGCCTGAGAACACAGCATTGGAAGTGTTTTAAACTTCCATCAGACCCAAGGGTCTCACAGCACTGACTGAAGATCACTTTCATCTCGGATGTCATGCTGTACAGTGTGGTATATCATTCCCAGTGTTTCTGAGAAACCCACTGCCTCCATCCACAGGGTGTAATAGTAATATGGGCATGGAAAATAGTGCAGATACAGGCAGAGTGAGGACCAGAACTGTGGCCACAAGTGAACCAACAGAAGAATGAACTACAGGCCTCTAAGGGCTACACATTCTTTACACAGTTCTCCTTATGTCTTGGTCTGCTCACAGCCCCATTCCCAATCCTCCCTTTCCCTATATCTGTAGCACTCTTCCTGCACTGAGGTTCTTCTTCTACCCTGAAGAAGGAGGCACAAGATTCCTATAAAATACCAGTGACAATCTACCAGACAACAAGAAAGATGACTAAAAACCACATCAAAGAATACATCAATGGGCAGAAGTGGGGAAAATGGAACAGTGTGTGTGACCGCCTCTGTGTTCTAGTGGTCAGAGTTCCTGGCTACAGATCCAGAGGACCGGGTTCGATTCCCGGCGCTACCAGATTTTCTGAGAATTAGTAGGTCTGGAATGGGGTCCACTCAGCCTCGTGAGGATAACTGAGGAACTTTTTCAAGGAAATAGCAGCTCTGGTCTAGAAAACCAAAATTAACGGCCGTGAGGATTCATTTCACTGACCAGGCGACACCCTCTATCCGCTAAGTTGGCACTAACTTCAGTTCACTTGTGAACTAAAACCAGTGAGTTTGTTTTTTGTATGTTTGTTGTGTGTGGGAGGAGAGGGAGAAGATAAGATGCATTCACGGCAGATAAAAAGGTTTGGTGCAGGAAACAAAAGTAAGAAACCAAATGAAAAATGACAGCTACCGAGAAATGCCTTAAAATAATAACCCATAACTAGAAGCAACTACTACCATTGTCATCACCTTTAGACATGCCACCTTCCATGTCTATTGAGGTGAGCATAAATGCATGCAAATGCTTCAGTGCACAAACTGTGTCACACGTGGCTGTGTTCATACCTGTGTCTGTGTCAAAGCTCACTGTTGCATGAAATCTCTTCCCATGTTTGAGGATATCGAGTGTCAGAGCAACTTCAAGACTTTCCCGCTTCTCCTGTATACGATGCAGAGCTCTCTCCAGATTAAGCCAGAAGCTAATCTCTTGTAACGCAGTTCCTGATGAAGGATCTCGATCTAGTTTTGTAACCTGGTCAATGAAAACAAGACTCAATTTTTCTGGGTGAAGGAAGTAAAACATGTTGAACAAAATAATGAAAACATAATAAGAAAGGATTACAGTGAAGTCAGGGACATGTGGTAGCATTGTTGGTTGGGGTACAATGCTAGAAGCCAGAATGTCGTGGGTTCAATTCTGGATGAGGTCATTGGATTTTTCAGTCGACCTAATCCTTCCAGTCGCATTATGGCCCTGGGGTCGACTCAGCCTTTAACAGGAGTGAGTACCAGGAATCTTCCTGGGGGTAAAGGTCATCCAGCAAGTAAGGCTGACAACCTCACTACCATCTGCCAGCCAAATGTCTAGAAACTGTGGGAGTGTCAACATCTCATAACACTCCGGGCCTCCATGGTCTGTTATAGGGATACCTTTACTTTATTTTACTTTAATTTTACTACAGTGAAGTCATTTACTGAAGTCAGTAAAAACTGCTAATGTATTTATGGTCTGAAAGAGTAAGTTTCAGAATATACGAGGTGTGTTCAGGAAATAACGGGAATTTTAAAATTTCGCGGGTTTGGAGAGTCCAATTGTCAAAATTTTTTTTTTATTATGTTGGTATACATGCCCCTGAAGTACAATAAAATTTTCAGCTGTATTCATTGCTTACTTTGTCTGTGGCAGCCGCTAAGGTTAGACGTGTTTTTATGAGCTTGGCGATTTTCGTTTGTTAAAAGAAATGGATCAAAGAATTTGTATCAAATTTTGCGTAAAAAATGAAATAAAGTGTTACAAAGTGTGTGAAATGTTAACAAAGGCCTATGGTGAGTCTGTTATGAGTAAAACAAGAGTTTACGAGTGGTATAAGCGTTTCCAAGATGGCCGTGAAGACGTTGCAGATGACGAGCGCCCCGGACGCCCCAGCACATCAACAACCGATGAAAACGTGGAAAAAGTGAAAGCAATGATTATGAATGATCGCCGAATCACAATCAGAGAAGT